GTTTGTATACTTGGATCCCTAGGGGTTGTTATCGTCTTTACTATTCCCAAAGCCGGCATCCATCTCTCATACGCCAGGTTTGGCAGCAAACGCCCTGCGCCCGGCCAACACACTTCTTTTTGTCAGCTTACTGAGGAGTAGTAGTAGTAGTAGTAGTAGTAGTAGTAGTAGTGGTAGTAGTAGTAGTAGTAGTAGTAATAGTAGTTTCTATGTTATTTTCCCTTATCCCAATATAGGGGTTATATTGGGATAATGGAGAAGCAAGTGGAAACTACTAATTATGGTGTATTGGGGTTATGCAGAGTCCGTGTATCCTATCTCCTTCACTCCCTTGAAATGGTGTAACTGCAAGTAAGGAAGGTGTTCATTCTGGCATACAAGCCAGCCAACCAACTCTTCGTAATGTGACAATATACTATAGTTAGTAGTTTCCATTTGCTTCTCCACTATCCCAATATAACCCCTATATCTAGATAATGTAAAATAACATGGAAACTACCATTATTCAGTAAGCTGTCTAGCTCTGGAGTTCTGAGTCCAGAGGCGCATGGGTCGAAACATCGGGGGGCGTACAAGGATATGGTACGAGCAGGCGAGCAGCATATGATACTAATAAGCTGCAGTGGTCAGTGCTGGAAAAGTTGCTGCAGCCTGCAATACCAGCCCTTGCAAGAGGCTACAGGTGAGGGTGTTCAGCTGTGATCAGGGTTCAGTGTGGTTTGGGCTTTAGGTTAGGGTTTAACTTTGATGTGTTGTGTTCGCTTGCTTTCGGGCCGGCATGTCCTAATGTCAAAAAGAATCCCAAGCACCTAAAAAGCACAAAGCTCCAAACGACATCAATCAAAACCTCCAGTCAAATCGTCCAAAGATGCTAGTCCCTTAAACGAGCCTAGACCTAAGCCCTAAACGCTTAAACCCACAGAACTCGAGAACTCCAAGGGAAAAGAGAGCGGTCGACCTTCCTCCAGGGCCAAGTCTTGGCCCCGGCATTACAGAGCGGAGCTCTTTGTGATCATTAAGGTGTAGGGTTTGGGGTTTGGGGTTTAGGGTTTAGGGTTTGGGGTTTCGAGAGTGTACATGGAAAGTTATATAGCATGGCACCTAAAAGGGTTATTAAGCGGGTATATTATACAGCGTGAGACAGGGGGTAGCTGGGGACTTTAATATCCCATCACTCGAGAATCACATGGAAAAGAGGGTGGACAATGCCATGGAAGCTGGGATGACTCTGGTTTTACGGACATTTGGATTTCCATGAATTCTGGGCCCCTCTTCTTTGGGGGTCACCAGAAGAAGCAATACAGAATATGGGGGCCTAATTATATGGGCTCCATTCTGTGAACAACCCTAAACCCTGAAGCACTGTTTTGACTTCGGTCTTGTGACGGATGCTGAGAAGGGATGGATGCAGTCGCACAACTGTGGTGTGTGGGGAGTGGATTGCCGAGACCACTCCGTGCAAATGAAGCGAGCGAATCATGTGGCTAATGAGTTAGGCCTGAGATTATGGTACTACAGTATGGAAATGCCCGCAATTCGATTGTAACTAACATTGCATTTCGGTTATGGCACAGGATTGAATCATCAGGGGAGATGGAGGGCATAGCATATGATCCAGGGATGCTGGGACCCTGAAACATGAAACCCCGACCTGCACATATGTATATAGATACGCACACTTATATTTATATGTATACAGAATTCCCAGATTCATATAGCCGGGGTCGGAAAGATCGAGGTCTTGAACATGCCATACTTAAATCCTAAGCTTGGGACAGTCACCCTCAGCAATTCTCTCGACCCCAGTTGCCTCGCCTCAAGCCCTGGTGCACAAATCTTGCGGAAATGCTATTTGAGGTTGACCTAGGGTTTAGGATTTAGGGTTTAGGGTTTGGGTTTGGGTTGAGGGTCAAGGATCTAGGGTTAAGGATCTAGGGTTCAGGTTGACTTCCGCAGTTGCAAGGTAGTAAGGAGCCACCAATTACGGTATCACGGCCGAACTTGAAGTGTCATGCGGGCTTAGGAGCGGCGTTGTAAACTACAATGACTACGGTGTGTCCCCGTTTATAACATCCGTGAACCTCCAGGACCACTGCTAAATCACATACCTTAGACCCTAGATCATATGCCTCCTGGACGATTGAGGACGCTAAAGCTGCCCGAGCTAGCGACGCCTGGCGGGCGAAATGTCTAAGTTCCCGTTAACTCTGTAGAGTTTCAACGCAAAGCCTACATGGGGTTCATACAACTAGGGTCGTGGTCGTTGGAGTTTCAGAATTTCAGGGTTCAAGAACTGAGGCTGCAGGCATTTGGAGCTTGGGAGTTCAGAGTTAGGGTAGAGGGAATGTTGCCTTGTAAGTTAGTAGAGATCAGCCGTTGCGAGATGGCAGCTTCAAGGTGCCAGTAGGGTTATATAGGGGTTATTGGGATAATGGAAAAAGAACATGGAAACTACTATTTAGGGTTTAGGGTTAAGGTCATCATCCTGGGTAATGTAGACCCCTAATTAATATACTGGGGGTATATAGGGGTTATATAGGGATAATGGAGAAGAAAAGGGAAACCACTACATTGTATATAACAGGGTTTAGGGTTTACGGTTAGATGCTTCATTCTTAATTTTGACAAGGGACCATATAAGGGAGTATCGTTTGGGTTATTAATGGGGATGCTAGGAGTTTAGACTAGCTCATATGAGATGTGTTCTTATCCCAACATACCTTTCGAAGGGTTGTCACCGTCATAGCGCTCATTAACCCCTTTCCCCAACAAGCACCCCTGCTTCTAATGCCACGTCTTCCCCGAACATGTCTGTGGGCGATGGGGGCTTGTAAGATGCTTCAGTACCCGGGTGATGGGAGCAATGTAGAGGCCCGAATTGAGTAGTATTCTATTTGGGGATACCATGGTACCCAATGTAGAGTAAGATTCTATCCTCCTTTTGGGGTATAGTATTTTCTATAAGGAATATTATCTTTCTAGGTTCAACCACCAAAAAAACACTACGCAATTGTTACCCCTAGATTCCTTTTCAAATTATAGTGCTACCTCAAATAGGCCTCCAGTGATCAAGGCATCAGTATTAGGCCTATTCGCAGGCAGCGCGATGCCACTCCAGGGTCTTACCAAGATCCCTACCCCACGGCCTGGGGACGCCAAATCTTGAGCCCTAACACTTTACACCCTCTAAACCCCGTAACCCCTAAACTGTACCTGGCTATCCAGTTGGTTATGCTTCGGACTCCTACGGCTGTGTACCGTATTTGTAGTGAATTGGGATTTACCAGATACACTCTAAGTCTAAAGATTGCGTTTCACTATAGTCGACAGTAGGGCGGCACCCTCTCTCCTCAATTGGATGGGTGCCCTGTCTGAGGGAGCTTTGACAGCTGTTGCCAACTGATTTGTTGACGTAAGCCACCTTCCCTGATATTGAGCAGCCCCTCCACATCCAAGAATTGACAGTCCTCATATGAGATATCATATCTTGTGGGACACATATATTATTAGGGGCAGAACTCGGGGATAATGTTACGAAGCAGCAGCATCGGTAATATTGAGTTAAGAAAGTGCTATCCCAACACATAATGGGTCTGCATTATCTTGGGTACCGAAATGCCCCCTTTGACTGTATGAGCAGCCAACAGCATTCTCGACAATTCCCAGAAACAGCTGCATGGGCCACTCAGTCTTAATTCGCTTGACGCCCGTTTGCAAAGCAATCTTCATGAAGTGATGCAACAGCCTTGCGCGTGTTCTTGTTTGGTGTTTCGGGGTTATACTTTATCGTTGAGGGTTCATGTGTGGGGTCCGTTTGGATGCTCGGTCGGTTTGAGGCGTTTATATTGGGTCATCCTGCGCACAGTAGCTGTCCTTAAAGGTGGTATTTAGGGGCTGTGATAACTCCTAGTGCTACTTGTGGTAATCATTCCTGTAAGAGGAAATTACCATATTTTGAGATTCAGTACGTCCTTCCGTATTTGTCTTTGCCTGAAGTGTGCCCATGGTGCTTCCAGGCTTTGCCCAGCAGCCGACTTCGGTCATGGGTTACTGAACTACCCGGTTAAGGTTTAGGGTTTAAGGTTTAGGGTTTAGGGTTTAGGGTTTAGGGTCCTAACTACCCCCCTCTCGCTACTACACCTCCTTCCGTCAAGGTTCCCCGTTAATAGCTTCTTTGGGGGTATAACTAAGCCTGATCAAGAGTCAACCTTGGTGGGTTGTGAACGGGGGCTGGTTCAGAGAACCCATAATCTTGCAGTTGGTTGGAATATGGGTCACCGTATCCTCTCCACTGGAGGTTGTTTCAGGGACCCAGGTCAGGATTCAGAAGTGGATGCCCTGAGAAGTCCTCCGCCGTGCGATTACCCCAAATCTCCAAGTATCTGACACTACACCCAATTAGCTTTCCACACACCGAATCCCAAATCAACATCCCTTTGCCATTCTGGGTTCATGGCTGTCATGAACTTAAGAACTTGGGATTAAGGGTAGGTTGGGTTCCAGTATGAAGTTGCTGTGCAAGCGCCAGAAATTACATCCAGACCATGTCTTCTGGTTTAGGGCTTAGGCGTCCCTACACTCGAAACCTACCTCTCCCAATGTTTTCCACATCTACTAGAGCTTTCAAATCAAGACCATGCCCTGCGAACCCAACCGTCCAAACCCAAGCCTAGGCCCTCAAAACTCAACCCAATGCGCGAAACTCAAAGGCATTAGATCTTAAACCTAAAGTCCACGCCGACCTTCTTCGCTGAGTCCCACTATATTTGGGTACCTGGACCCTTACGTTTCTACAAACCTATATCCTAAGCCCGATAGACCCTGGACTAAAAAACCCATAAGCCATTCTAACCCTGAACCCTTAACCCTAGGACCCTAAACCCTGCCAACAAAAGAACATAAGCCCTCTTAACCCTGAGCCCTGAACCCTAAACCCTAGGACCCTAAACCCTGCCGAAGCGCACTTGGCTCATAGACTGTAGCATTGATTGCTTCAAGCCATGGCCTTAGAGGAGCCATCTGGGAGACACGGTGAGGTGTAGGGGATGTATGTGTGTATATATATATGTATGTATATATATATATGTGTATAGGTATGTATGAAGGTATGTATATATATATACAGATAGAGAGATGTGTGTGTATGTGTATGTATATATATATATATGTCTAATATTTGTGTGTCAACTTGTATATGCACATATGTAGGTGTGAAGACATAGATATAGGGATTAGGGTTTCAAATTGGGTTTCTGGTGTATAGGCTCTACGGTTAAGGGTTTATGTGCAAGCTTCGCGAGTCGGAGCGTAGGGAGTAGGGTTTATACTATAATACCGTTTTGGGATTAGGATTCTGGGTTCAGGGACATGTCGGCGGTTTATCTGGAGTTTTGAGTGATTTTGCTCAGTCGTCTATACTGCAGTTGTTTTTCCCCTATGGGTCCCAGGACCGGAATAATAGGGTTTTATGGCCCAAATACTTGAAGATCAATGATATTTTGGCCCTAAAACCCTGTTATTTGGGTCTCAGGCCCCTTCGGGTTTGTTATCACCGACCTGGCACTGGTTCTTGTCCTTAATTGTGGTTCTATCGCCAGAGCTTCATTGTGGATTACCAGCTCTGAGCCCCCAAAGCCACTTTCCACTGCTGATGGAAGACATCTTTCACCGCCCTACGTCCCCCTTCATGCGGATTATAATAGGGATCCTAATAGTTCTATGCGCCCAAGCCCTAAGAACTACAGCAGCTGACGTACCCTATGTGCGTAATACAAGACATCCTTCATCAGCAGCATGTCGATCGCCAACACAGGAGACCAGGCCCTACGTAACGTACACGACGACAGGGGCGACCGCCATGCCGATGGCTACTCCCATGATGGCTCAGCCTTTGCCCTCCATGTCGCAACCGCGACTTGGATGTGGTTTTCAAACATCACGGCCGGAAGACTGATGAATTAGACTCTTGCAGGGCCTCCTTCTGGGCTGATGTTATAGGAACACCATAGCTTGAAAGAGTGTTTGGAAGAAGTATGGTGCCATGCCCCCCAACAGCCATGACTAAGATCACCATGAAAACTGCCATAATTGCCTTGGGACAGACCTCAGGAATAATTCAGATACATATATCTGTATATATACACACAGTGTTTGCGGTTCGAGGGAGAGAACCGGCCAAATGATTCCTTCCGATGCCCGTAAACCTCCTACATGTGGGATTGCAGTTGGATACTGCCCCCCACCCAGTGACAGTTGGATAAAACTCATAACATGGTTATACATATGTATAGCCCGATCATGGGCTGCCACTGGGTGCGGGCAGTACCCAAGATTGCAGCTTGTGCAGGTTCAGGTTCAGGATTTCGCGCCATACTTCTGGGCTCTCTAGTAAGTCTGGCGTATCTTGTGGGCAAGAGAAATGGTAACACATTCGACCTCCAGGCAGGATGGGCATATAGGGATATTGCGTATAGCGCAGTGGATATGGGGCCCAAGACTGGAGCATCAAATGGAAACGAGCATGGAACATGAAATGGAAACTGGGAGTAGGCACACCTTGGAAGCGTTTATTCCCGGACTCGGACTTTCAAACTTGTCCCACGGAACCCTGCAATTCTCACCCTGATTCCTTCCGTGGCCCCTGTATGAACTTGAAGGAATCCTTCAAACATGGCCATTGAAGGTTTAAGCTTGAGTGTCTTAAGTGTTTAGGGTTTACTAGACCTTGCACTTCGCTGTGCTTGTGAATGCGTCCCACTCTAGCTCTTCGTACTTTTAATTCCGAAAACCCTTCATGATAAAAAAGCATGTGGTTTTGTATCATAATATATACCCCAATATATACCCTGTAATCCCCACAGTTTCCATTTTCTGTTCCATTATCCCTATTCAAGCCCAATATAAGCCCCCCCCATAACCCCCCACCCCCCACCCCCAAGTAGGGAGGCCCAAGTCAGAATTAGGGTTTAGGGTTTAGGGTTTAGGGTTTAGGGTTTAAGGGTTGGGGTTTAGGGTTTAGGGTTTAGGGTTTAGGGTCCCGTTGTCCTCTTATAATGGTTGATTGAGATACCGAGATGACACTACGTGGAGGGTCAGGGGGGGCATAGCAAGTATTCTTACAACCCAAATAAGCCACACAATAACCCCTGTTATCGTCATTACTAACCCACTTGCGAAGTCCATTTGACCCTCCATTGCCATGTAGTGTTTTGCAGTAATATCACAATCTAGGTCGGAACCCTAAACCCCAAATTTCTAACAGCCCTAACCTTCGGAGTCTCTTGTTTTGGTCTCGTTGTAGACTAGGCCCTTGTTGAATACAAGTCTAAACATGAACTAGTTATATTACTGAAGCCACCCGATGAGGAATATGAAGTTGCTGAGTTGCTGTTAAGATTGTTCCAATTGGTCATGGGCCCCTCGCATATTGGGCTCGGGCCCTCAAAGGATGCCTCAACCTAAAGTTACACCCCAAGGCCTAGTCCTAGCCCTAAACCCTAAATCCTAAGGCTTACGTTCGTTTCGCCCGTCATGCGCCCGGATGAGCCTGTGTACGCAGCTCCCATCCCCATAGCTCCGTCGCCAGATCTGACTTGGGCAAAACTTGTAGTTTCCCTAAACGGGGACGGTGAAAGCTTAGCAGGCCGGGGTTCGGATGGAGACTTAGGGCTATAAGGGTTACATGGGGTTTATATGGTGGTTGTATGGGTTAAGTGGGGTTTGTATGGGTTACATGTGGTTTATATGGGTTACATTGGGTTTATATGGGTTACACGGGGTGTATGTGGGGTTATATATTGGGGGCTATATGGGCTGCATGGGGTTTATATGGGGTCATATGGGTTACATAGGGTTTATACTTGACTTCCATTTCTTGTACTTTGTATTACATTTGGGGCAAGGGTGTCTCGCAACGAGTTCCCCGCGCATAGTCACAGATTGGTTCATGTTACTCAAAGATTGAGACAAAATCCGAGCCGACAACAATGGATAGATATGAGATAGTCTCTCCAGTCACCCCTCTTCTGCTAGTCTTACTCAATAGGTAGTTTGACCCGCGAGGCTGGACCCCGCAAATCTGCAAGCCCAAGCCTTACACTTACTAGGGCTTAGTAGGGAATCTGGGAAATATTATATAGGAGTTATATAGGGAATATTTTCCCTTATTACCTGCTAACCACCGGTAAGTATACCCTAAACCCAGGAACCCAACACCAGCACCATTTCTTTTCCAGCATCTTCCCAAGAGCGGAGCACAGGCAGCCCTCGGTCTATGCTGCACCGGCGGCTGCCCCAGAAGCTGGTGTGCACTGAGAATTCTTGGTTCTGTCGGACAGAGGGTTTAGGGTTTAGGGTTGAGGGTTTCGGGGTTCAGGGTTTATCGTTTAGGGTTGAGGGATTTAGGATTTTCTCGCATCCTAACAGATTGCCAGGCATGAAGTGAGAGGCTGATAAGATTCGTTCTGCCTTGTACCGGCCTTACCCTACAAGACCTTGAAGAAGTGCCGATGCCTTCTACCGGCCTTACTCTACAAAACCTTGAAGAAGTCTCGGCTTACTACCCCAAATTAAAGCCTTCAATTTTCACCCTCAACCCTAATCCCTGAACATTGCACATCCCTACATGTGCCTTTTTTACCGGTTCATGAGCCCCGCGTAAGACAAACCACCAACCCATGTTGCAACTTCAGGATGTGCCTCCGGTCTACGCGGCTCCAGCTACTGTCCCTGAAGTAGCCTGGGCTGAACTTTGAGGTGCCAGACTTAGGCTCTAGGGTTTTGGATCTTGGGTTTAGGTTTTAATTAACATGGGTCTAGGTTTTCAATATTTCCGCATAGCCTCTGAAAAGGCGCGGTGTGAATGCCAGCCGTTTAGGCTTTAGGGCTTACAGCTGGAATCCTGCCAGTCCAGCCAGACGAATTAAGCCAGAAAAAACTTCAATCCTGGACCCCAAGTCAACGAACATGAAAGACAAGAGAACAGTAGCAATACTTATCACACACTCCCTAACACTGCAACTTGAGAAAAAGGTTAATCCTGCCAGTAAGCTCCCGCAAATATCCAAAATGCGAGGCCAACAACTCTAGCCCAAAAACCCTAAACCTGAAGGCGAAACCCTAAGACCCAAACCCTTAACTGTAAACCCGAAACCCTGAGCCTTAAATCCCCGGATCATAGGGAACCCAGAACACGAAGCCTCAACCCCTGAACCCTTTCAACCCAAATCCTAAACCTTATTCATCCCTATGTAACTCCTATAGCCCCTTGGAAGCCTCGTAAACCCCTAACAGTTTCCTTCGTCGGGCCCCGAGGTCCCGCCAGTCTATGCTGCCCCGGCAGTTGAGCCAGCAATCTACGCAGCACCAGAAGCCATGCCCGAAGTACCACCCGTGTCTCACCGGGTACTAATTTTAGATGGGGGGATAGGGTTTAGGGTCTAGGGTTTTGGGTTTCTGGTGTTTGGGGCGCTTTGGGGTTGCACGTGTGCTACCTGGAGATTCTAGTTGATATTGCTAACCATGGTCAGGATGTACAGTTATAGATTTGTGGGTTCAAGTTGATGTTTTTCTTTTTGTCAACTGGATCTCCGGGTAAGCCCTACCTTGACGTCTCAGATATCCAGAAAAGAACAAAGACCCCCACAGAAGATGCATTCATTTTTTAGAGGCTACCCTAAGGGTCCAAGTCTCTGATAATCATATACTTACCCAAAATCTGTAGTGTAACTGCTATTACCCCAAACCCAAGTACCTGATTATTGGGTACATGGACCCTCGGGGTTAGAGGCCATTACTACTACCCAAAACCCTAAACCCCTGAACCCTAAACCAGGTATTTTGGGAGGCCCAGCCTGGGGCTGGCTAGACATTTGACTTGATGTGAATTCTTGCGCCAAGCCCTACACCCCAAATCCTCGGCACAGCTAGCTGTCCGCAAAACAGTTTAGGGCGGCACTAAAACGGTCATACCTAAGCCCTGAGATTATATGTGATTGTTCCAAGAGTTCACGACCGACACTGCTGAAGTTGCGCTCATTGCTGGCAAGCTCTAAAGTATTCTAGAACCCCCCATAACTCTTAATAACTTTCGCAAGGGCTGGAAGCTCCACCTAGTATATATACACATATGCATATACATATACATGTTTGCGTGCTTCTCGGGCTTTGCACGAATATTTTGTCTATTGTCTTGAGGTCCAAGTACTGATGTGGGCAAGAATAGATGGGCGGCCCAAGTAAAGACGTCAATTTATTGCACGCTTTGTTATTGGGACTGTCAAAAGCGATTTTTGTGGAAGCCCTCATACCTGTGATGAGTGATGAAGAAGCACAGTAATTATCCTTCTTCATAACACGGTGGTTTCCAGAAATTAAGGGGCCTTGTTTGAGGATCTTGTCACACAGTTCATAATATTTTGAAGTATAGTCCCCCTTAAGTACATAAAATATGGGGTATGTGGGGATCTTATCATAATATACCCAAAGCCATATTCTATCTACTTAAGGGGGGATTCGGATTGCTAAAGGGGGTCGGATTAGAGCTAAATCGGGCCTGAACGGAATAATATAAATGGGTGCGGATTTCAGCTAGATCCGGTCTGAACGGATTAATAATAACATAGAAACGGAATAGTGGCTAGTGCATGCTTGCTTCTGGAAATGCCCAAGCAGAGAAAAAAACAAACAAAAGACGGAGAGAAGAAAGCCAGAGAAGCGAGAGAGAGAGCCAGCCGGTTTGGGGACCACTATGGGCTATTAGACCTTAAGGGTACCTTAATCTACCCTGAATAGGGTCCTAGTGGGAAATTCTAGGGTCTAATAGCCCATAGTGGGATCGGGGTTCAAGGTTCAGGGCGCTAGGTTCGGACTTTAAAGTTCATTAAAGGTTCAAGGTTCGGGGCTGGCTCGGACGCCCCCTAACAAGTTTTCCCAACCTTGGTTGGGGCCCTCGCGGATTATTCAGATCCGCACTTGTTTAGGGGGGGCTCTTAGAATCATAGCCCCCCCATTAAGGGGACTATATACATGGGGAACCCCTAGGCACGCACATCAGGGATGGTAGCCGGAGTCAGAGCAGGAACAGTCAACAGCCACATTTTGTTGCAGGTGGACGCCTGCTGGCAACGTTGATAAAGAAGAAGGACAGCTAGGGGTTGGGTACTGCCCCCACTCAGTAACAGTTGGATAATAACTATACTATGGTTTATATAGCCCTTAATAGGACCCCTAATATAGACTGTTACTGGGGGGGGCAGTACGCAAGCTAGGGGTGACGCGGAGGGCTTCCTAGAGAATGGCCAGCTCTCAAGGAGCTCTAAACTCTAAACCCCTCTAGAAATCCAGGTGTACGCGGCGCCTGCATCAGCTCCAGCCATCTACGCTGCCCCCTCTGCAGTTGCAGAAGTGCCTCCCATCTATGCAGCTGGATCGGTTTAGGGTGAGAGGCTTGAGTTTCAGGGTTCAGGAGTTTTGGGGGCTTTGCGGCTTAGGGTTTGGGAGTTTGCACCCTGCGGGTTAAGGCAACAAGGCTTGCGTAATGCTTAATACCTGGAGCCAATTGCCACAATGTGTGGGTTGTGGAAGGGACAGAGACAAACTCGAAGTTGGTGTGTCCAGGTTTTGGCGGGCAGCTAAATGGACTACTTGGGGGGGACATGTTCCTTTGACCTGGTTAGCTGTCATTATGACTCAGTTACGACATGAGGGCAGTTTTAAGAGTAATGTAATCCTGCCCCTCCAAAACTCATATATGGTTTGACTCGGGTATATGAGGGGGCGCTTCTCAAATAGGAGACCTTTTGAGACCCAATGGATAGCGTTGTAAGTACAGGGGTGTGTGTGGTTTGGATTATGTAGTTTACATCCACTGAACCCCCCCCAAAAAAATTGCATGCACATCTCTCATAAATGCACTCTAGAAGTCGTATATCGACTTCCTCAGCGTCGATCCAGCGGCAAGCCAAAAAAATCAAAGGCTGGACACCACACCCGGAGCCGCCCAAGGCTTTAGGGCTTAGGGTTTAGGGAGTGACCATCACAAAGCCGATACATGATCCTTGGCACCAAGTGAATCCTCAGGGTCTTGACTAAACTTTGGCTCCCAAGCCCTGAATGAAAGCCCTAAATGCTCAACCCCGAGCCCTCAGTCATTCGAAGCCCGAAAGCTGGAATCCTAAAGCCTAAACCTGGGTTGCTGTTAAGGAACTTAAATTAAGTTACTATATTGGGGAAACCCTATTATTTACTATATATACCCATTATGGTGACTTAGTTTAAGTTCCTTAACAGCAACCCAGAAACTTGAAACTCCCAAGCTTGAGTCCTAAGCCCCCAGCCATAAAGCCTATATACCAAAGACCTAAAAAGCTAAGAACCTGAACCCTACATCCCTGTAAATCCGAAACAAGACATCTTCTGAATCCCTATATAACCTGTATATCTACCTGCAAGACACCCTGAGCCCCTAAAATCCCAATCCTGATACCAACAAGTAGCCCAACGTAGGTAAGATTTACAGACTCTAGGGCCCAATGTAGTTCTTACAGACTGTATAGGGCCCAATCAAGATGCATTTCCCTTTCCATGGTCATTTTCCTTTGATTCTGCATTATTGGTATGCCCTAAGCCCCTGGATTCCTAGCGCAACCTAGATACCAGCGACCCAGGCAGCGCCCGCCGCAGCGCCGGAAGTGCCCGCGGTCTATGCGGCACCGGCAGCGCAGGAGGTAAGCTTCAGGATTTTGGTTTAAGGTTCAGGGTTTGAGGGGTTAGGGCTTTGGGGCTTAGGGTTCAGGGTTCAGGGCTTAGGGTTTAGGCTTTTGTGGTAAGCTTCAGGGTCTTCCAGAGAGCCCAGTACCCCTTAATTGAGGCATATACTGTGAATGGTACTAAGGTCCCTTATATGACTCAAGTATAATTATGTATATTCCTGACTTAAGGGGTATTGGGCTCCCTGGGGTTGTGGAGGCTTGTGGGGTTTATAGTTGTTGCCGGTGTCTTCAAAGGTGATACACGGGATATATATATAGAGATCACCCCAAGGAAATCAACTTAAATAAACGCAGTAGGAAATTAGGGAGGAATGGACCAGGATAAGAGGCTACTGGCTTTCTAGGTAGAATTGGGAGGCTTTTGGGTTTAGGGGTAAGGTTCAGCTAAACCCTAAACCCCAAACCCTAGATTGCGGCTGAGGACAGCAAGGAAGGCTCAGAGATCTGAAGTCAGAATTTCAGGGGTTGACAATTGGCTTGGTGACGGGCTTGCGCAAATCTCCCAAGCAACACGGCTTAGGGCCTAGGGCTTAGGGGTTAGGGTTTCGGGTTTAGGGCTGCAGGCCGATGAGTTTGGGGGCTAAGCGTTTCATGATTACGGGACGTTGCTTTGGCCTGGTCGGGGGAGGTTGGGGAGCGGGGGGGTGGGGGTGTCGAGGGGGTTTACAGTGGGTTCCAAACGCTCTGATGCTGGACCAACCTTGGTGAATTGTCTAGCCCTAAGGGTCCAAGGACCCAAGTAATAGGGTGTTAGGGCCTAAATACCACTAATAGTATAGTATTTGGGCCCTTGAACCCTACCATTTGGGTCCTTAAACCCTTAGGGTAGGGTCTAGGTAGATTCTCATGTGTTTCCGCTTGGTATACATGTAACATGATATTTGAGAATCTTTGCCGAAACACAAATCTGCTTGGTCGCACGTGTACTGTGAGGTTTTTGGAGGGTTGAGGGGGTTCTGAGTTCCCGTACAGTCTTTCGAGTTCTTGCGGTACCGAGAAAATTCTTGCGTGAGGTGCCCATCGCTCTTTGAGAAAAGTGTGGGTTGTGCTTATTTGCAGCTTTCTGGTCCCAAGCCTGGAACCCTAGCCTAGAAACCTCCAACTCGTACCCGGACCCCCAAATGACATTTTGAGTATTTCTAGGGGTTTGGGCCGTTATTTCAATTACTTCTGACATTATCTCTGTATAGTCCCTTCATAAACCCAATATTATAGTAGTGTTTATTTTATTTTCCATTATCCTTATATAATCCCATTATATGAGGTCCAGGTAGGCATTAAGCCTGAGACCGGAACCAAGGACCCTGAAGCCCTGGTCATGGTCAGGTGATTTATGCTGCGCCCTCCGCAGCTACCCCATTATACACCGTGCCAGCAGCCTCTCCACCTGCACCTGGGTTTGCAGAAGTTGCTTTACTGTTTTTTGTTGGGGGTCCGGATGTAGACGTCCATCCATGGCCAAAGATGTTCAGTGGCGTGGGGGCTTGATACTCGGTGTTGTGCAGAAGTGCTTCGGCTGTAGGACATACCCGGACATCCTGGGCACCACCTCTTGCGAATGAAATGCCAGGGGATTATCAGGCCACTCTTGTTGCAATTCTACTCTCCAATTATCGCCGGAGCGGAGAACGACACACACCCTTGCGGCCCAGCGTGCAGCTTCAGACACCTCCGAAATGTCATACCCAATCCCCACTTGATCCCTGTCCCTGCATGACCCTAGTCTTTACACAGTCCCAGTCATTTGACCACGGAAAATGATGGTCAGGTATTTGATACCCCCGAGCTTTGAACTTCAACCTGAGAACCAACCCAAAATGCTGAAAGCCTGGACTCATTGCGCATATCGAAAAATGCCTTTTAGATCCTAGGCCGAAGAAAACCTCAAGTCCACGTACTTGGCTCTAGTTAGCAGGGAATGATGGACATCCTGATAAACATTGCAAGGCCATCCACTGAGTTCATAGACCCAGAACCAAATTTCGATTCCTGAACGACAGGCAAACTTCCCGCAACCCGACAGGCTAATCCCCAACCCCAAACCCTTAAACCCGTGCAGGCGTACCAGTATACGCTGGCATCCGAGAGCGCGATCCCTATGCAGATGTTTCCCGAAGTGACCACGCTGAACGTCACGCATGCAGCGCCGCCTCCTGCGCAGTATGCGCTTGGGCTACAATGGTAACATCAATGTTTTGCTAGTACCAGTCACTCATACGCGCTATGTAAGTACAATCTGAACCCCAAACTCCAAACCCTAAACTCCAAATCCGAACCCCGGAGCCCTAATCCCCAAACCCTAAGCCTGAAAAAGCCAAAGCTTAAACTCAAAACCGCAAAGCCCTAACCTTCAAGCTCAAACGCAAACCCCTGTCGGATGGAGTGTTCAAATCCGGTTGTTCATGGCTTCGGTTTTGAGACCACAGATTATGCAGTTGTGCGGCTTCAGACAAGAGGTACGGTTTAGGGCTGTTTCCCCCATAATGGAGAACCAAATGGAAAATGAAAGGGTATCTGGGCTTTTATCGCGATTTAAATCGAATGAATGGGGTCGATTGGGCTTTGGTACCAGCACTTGTAGTACAGGTGTTGGGTAGGTAAATCAAGGAGTATATACAGATATATATATATATATAAATATGCACATATTATATATATACAGTATATGTACATATATGTACATATACATATATATATATATATACATATATGTGCATATATATATATACACACATATTCCTTCTTCGGGTACCTTGGACCGGATCATAGGCTTCAGCTGGTGGGTTAGTCTCTAAACGTTAAACACTAAACCCTTAGGGTTCAGGGTTTATGACTTGGGGTTTAGGATTTAAGGCACTCATCTGGGCTTAAACAGCTTATGGTCCAGTGTTGAAGGGTTAGGCTCAAGGATGAGGGTTTAGGGACCCCTAAACCCTGAACTTTTAGGGCTTCTGTCTAAGGACTTTAGGAGGGACGAAAAACAGGGACCTTGAATCTTATGGAGGCTAATGTGGGAACTACCTAGGAAAATAGGGGCTATATACAGATTATAGAAGGGTTGTATATGGCAATGGGATCAAGGGTGCCTATTAGGGGATCCTCCTAAAGTCCCTGGATTATGAGGCTGAGGGTTGACGTTTCGTGTTCTATTTTCATAGCACTATCGGCCCCCAAAAGTACCCGCATAGAGGGGGGTATAAGATATCCTCCATCCTCAGTCTTATCCCAAACCCTAACCCTGACCAAGGCCTTCCCTTTGGAAACGCAATTGGGGGGTCTTGTCGCAGCGCCCGCACCTGCATCTTGCCTTCGATTAACTTGCGGAAGCTGGCTTAGGTGCCACCTTAGACCCTAAAGCCCTTCGGGGTTTAGACCTTGTGCTCTAAATCCCGGTGTGAAATCCTCAAAAAGAAGGTCATCTGGGTCGAAGGTAGTTTATCAAGTTGTCCTAAGAAATCTGGTGTTTGGAGAAATTAATGTTATTCGACCCGAACACATAAGGCGCGTAGGGTTTGCGGGCAGAGGCTTCAGATTCGGCTTTGTGGGTCAACTTCTCGAGGATTTTGTGTATTGCTTATTCGGTAGGAAGAAAAGGAGGAATGAGTCGCCATGGTAGCCCATGTGCAAAATGAATCACAGTAACGAAGTGACTTCCATGTTCTTTTTCATTCCTGCAGTCTTTCCTGATTACCCAAACCCCGTAGTAGCTTCCATGTTCTTTCCCATTTTCTAGGATCACTTCACCTTCTGGTTGTTAGCAGGGGAATGAAGGAGTGGAAAATGACGGAAGCTACTATGGGCTTAATGCATGGGATAGGAAATGGAAACTACTGCAGGGTCGAAGGGTTAGGGTGTAGTGAATGGAAAAGCAAGCGGAAACTAGAGCTTTGGGGGTTTTGCGAATGGACAAGAAAATGGAAAATCTCGGCAGGGGAATGTAAGAGATCCCGTTCTGATTCGATGCCCGTTAGATTCATGGTAACTGTTCCTTGCTGAAGCCCTGTAAGCCTGTAAGCGCGTGCAAAACCTAAAAAGCAAAGGAGGTCGTTCATACCCAACTGATTAGTAAGAGCGTAGGAATTGACGCCCTTTGAGAGTAGTCTTGGCCGTTTGTTTTCTATCAAGTCTTGGGGGTGTGTTGCTATTTCTTGGGGTTTGTAAAGGGACTCTAACGAAACAGCTAAACAGGGAACCCCAAGAATATAGTAGGAATATTCCAGGAACATAACTGGCAAGGTTCTTACATTCCTGTTACGCTCCTACTATATTCATGGGGTTCCCTGTTTGCTGTTCCCATTTTACTCCCTTTAGTTTGTACATATGCGGAAGAGGTTAGCAGCACTTTGGGATTTCAATTGGAAGCACTTTGCCTTAGGCCCAGTGTGTGGTCCGCGGGCCCACCCCCCAAATCATTTCGGTTTAGGGTTTAGGGTTCATGGGAGCACCTTGCAAGAGAGTTGGCAACAGGAGGGATGACCAGAGGCCTATTAGGCGTGATCTGGAATGATTCTGAATAATACTAGTTAATAGTAATAGTAAATAGTAAACAGCAATAGTAATAGTAAATAGTAAACAGTAATAGTAATAGGAATAGTGGTCGTGATAGTTATGGTAATAGTAGTAGTAAATAGTAAGCAGTAATAGTGATAGTGATAGTGATAGTAATAGTATTAGTAAGCAGTAATAGTAATAGTATTAGTAATAGTAATAGTAATAGTAATAACAGCAATTCAACCTTTGGTTTGCAGTGCATTCAGGCTTAGTGAAGTCAAGGGGTTTCATGTGGCAGCACCCCTTCTTCTTTGATGCAAACGGTTGGAGAAACTTGGGGAGAGCTCCAGTAAACAGGAAGGTGCAAAGACTATGATCAATGGATTCGAGGCTCAGGCTGATCATCTGAGCTATAGTCTAAACTCCTTAAAGGGGGTGACATAGGGGTTTATATAGGGTACTGCTATTAGGGTTATTAAGGGGGATGCTAGGAGTTTAGACAATGGCTTATATAGCCTGCAGTTAAACTACCCTCGAACTCAGGCAATGGTCCGGTGAGGGCACATCGTTAGCCAGGCATGGTTCACAGGTGTGGGGGGGGGGGGGTTGGGCCGCACGATTCAAGTCGGGGTCTGGATTTCTGGATTTGGGAGACGGGACTCAGCCTTTGGGGTTTAGGCTCAGGGTGTATGTGATTTCTTGAGGCATCCTTGTGCTGAGAGGCTGATGTTCATCAAGGCTTCGGGTCTCCAGTCGAACGTAGAAGTCTTACTATTTACCCATATTCTCGATATGATTCTGGTATAGAATACCTCAAATGGACTTCAGCATGATATTGGTGATTTTTTAGGCCCTGCCATCTCCTTCATAGAATGGGGCTCCAAACCTTAGAACGCCTAAATATTCAGCAGGTGGGGAGGGTTAGGGTCGAGAATTGTGAAGGGTGTGCAGTTGGGCTCTGCGTAAACCAGCTCAATCACCCGATCTTTCAACCAGGTTTACCCCTTCGACCTTGCTTAAATTCCACGATCCTGTACTTCCCCAGCTACATTGCAATGGTTTCCCAAAAGTGGGGGGGTAACCTTTAGGGGTCCCTAGAAGAAGGATAATAGTCTTGTGAGTTCTGTATTGGGGTCCCCGTATTTCCCCCATGCTCGCTGTGTAGTCTTGCCTAGATTGCCTATAGATGTTGCTTACTAGTACCATTTTCGCCAATGGATATCAAGTCTATGCATAACCTTAGGGATGCGAGTATACAAATCATACCTACATTGGGCCCTGAAGTCTGTAAATATTACCTACCTTGGGCTACTTGGATCCCTACACCCTAGACCCTATACTTACATTGGGCTAGTTGGACCCCTAGGGTACGCACAGATGCCAGGAACAATCCACGGGCAAAATGCTCCTAACGTGCCGAAGGAGCAGGCCGATGAGTTTTTGTTCAGTTTTGGAGGCATTACCCTAGGGTTTAGGGACTACCGGAACCCCAACAGTATGTGGAATAATAGCCTTTTGGGCTATATTTAGGGGTTTGGGGCTATGATTCTACCTACCTCTGGGCCAAACTGTAAACCCTAAACCCTAAGCCGCGTGGCCTCTTCTCTCTAGGGGCTATGTTGTTGAATTTATTGCTGTGCCGGCTAGATGGGGTAAGGGTCCCCTGTCACCTCTCAGGGGGTTGCGGTGTGGGGCTGATAACGCAGGTAAGACTATATCCTCCTTTTGGGTATAGCATCTTATATAAGGAATATAATCTTGCTGGGTTTAACCACCAAAAAAACGCTACTCGTGTGGCGCCTGCATGACGGGCATGGACATGGGACTTTCCCAAAACCAGGCTCCCACTCAACAGGTTATAGAGATTAAGGGTAGTGTGTTTGCAGGGCTGGTTCTGTAGTGGGGTGATTAACTTGAGGTCTATACGGGGCAATGTGCAAATGCATATAGACATTCGGGTTTCAAAACATATCGTTTTTTTGCCTGGCCCCACTAATAAGGATGGCATTATGTCGGGACCTTTCTTTGGAAACATCCACGTCGGAGCGCTTCAAGATGCGCATGTTGTTCTGTTGACTCCTTAGTAGTTTCCATTTTCTTTTCCATTATCCCAAGATCACCCCTATAAAGCCCTATATTCTATCTACTTAAGGGGGACTATACATCTTCTACATAGTGGGAACTCTCGTAGCCCTACCATCCTCGCCTCCAGAGAAATTCAAAGTCCAAACCAGGCAAGCCGAGGAAAACGGGGAACGCTGGAGAAGTTGTTCGGGTTGAGGTTTTTACCTTGATTAAGCTAATCTTAGGGTTACATTGGGGTGTTACTGGGATAATGGAAAATAAAATGGAACCTACTATTTAGGGTTTAGGGTTTGAGGATTAGGGTTTAATTAGTCGCGGTTTCCATGTTTGTGGATTCTGGGCTTCAGGATGTGTCCAACCCTGGTAGCAGCATTGACTTAACCGCGTGCAAGCCGTGAACATATGTCAGGTGTAGCTCAGTCTGCCTGCTAATCTGACATCACTTATACATGCAATCTACGTTCGGAATCAGACTGAGTCCAGCAGAATTCAGGCAAACACGTTGACGTCAAGATCCCTAGCCGTTGCAGTATCCAATTGTTTGCAGGGGTTGCTTGCTATCCATACTTTGTTGCGTCCCTTCGGGCCCAAACTCAAAGCTGCAAAAAAGTTACCTGGTGCTTATAGTTGGGAATGAGGACTTGAGACTGTTTCTTACTGGCGTTGGTATCAAGACTACGGTTCCCTCATTCCCCACTAAATCCTACTCCCTAAATCCTATAAACCCTAGACCCTCCGAGTAGAAAACTGTGGAAGGACTGGACTGCTATGGCAGCCCGGGGAGGGGACTTCCTAGCTAGGCAGGCAAGCATGGCTTCGACTGAGTTCTGGGGTTCAAGGGTGTCTGCGTTTAGGGCTGTAGGGTTTGAGGGTGTAGGCTTTGGGGGTTCAGGGTGTAGGGTTTAGGGCTTAGGGTGTCTGATTTGATGACCGTCTTCGAGGCATGGGCGGTGATGCGTTTTCCTACAGCTTGCAACTGCAAAGCTTGAGCAGGGCACATCGTCCTTGCTAACGTCTTGTATAAGTTGTACGGCAGAAGCTTCAAGCACAAGGGCTTCTTGTAAAATCACTGACGCATATCCTGCTTCCCACTTGGTGAACTGTTTCATTGGGACCCTGTTACCATATGTACGGCTTGCATGACCCATTCATTGCCAGACGCAACCTATTGTTGCGTTTCCGGTCAAGGATTTAGGGTCTGGGGCACTGTCCACTTTAGCCGGATTCTGGACTGGCGTTAGGGTTGAGAGCTGGTGGAGATGTCCAGTTTCCGATTCTAGCCAAATAGTTCAAGAACTGAAGTCGTTGTCGAAGTCTTTGTAGTGTGCATAATTCACGCGCCTGGGGATTACCTCAGGCCGTGTTCTGCGGGAATTGCTCCAGGACAGCACCAGAAACACAAATAGGTTTCTGGAGAGCCAATATAGGGGTTGCAGAGGCTATGTAAGCCTATGTTGGGGCTATATATGCTTACGGACGCACCTTATCCCCAAAGATGGAGAATCAAATTGAAAAGAAAATGGAACATGACAGGGAACTCGGGTTATAGAGGGGTAGCACGGTTTGTGTAACCTGGGTTCACTCCTTCTTTTGTGGCGTTTCTGGCTTTAGTATTCTTACTAGTAGTCATTGTTATGAGTAGTAGTAAACTTGAGTAAAGTCCTGTTGTTGCCACAGTTGCTACTAGGTTAGGGTACGTAGATCATGGCGATACATCTCTCAGAAGGTCTTGGGCCTCATCGGCCATGGAGCCTAAACCCTAGACCTTTAGACCCTATCAACTATGAATCCTGAGCTCTCATCCTCAAACATCCAAGCCCCAAGCAATAAAAACCCGCGACCTCCCCCCGTGTTGGCTGCACAATGCAAGCACAGTAGAATGCGGAAAGCATGCAGCATTCAGAACGACACTACTAATGCGGGCAGTATCGTATAAACATACACAACATCAAGGATGCAATCAGTACGCATGTTTATTCTTAAGTCCTGGATGCTGAACCGTGTGGCTTTCCAGTGCTTCCCAAGCCGCTTGAGGGGGAACAAAACGGGAGGAGAGGTTGGGATTCTGACTCAGGGGATGAGTGCTGACTATGAGGTGATACGGTGGTTTCCCAAAATGAGGGGTACCTCTCTGGGGGTCCCTATAACAAGGATTATGATATTTATGCGTTTTTGTTTTGGGGTCCCCCCGTTTCGTGTCACTTTTGAGGCCTCTAGTTGGCTAGTTTCAGGAGGGCTCTGAAAGCAAAGATGGTTCATGGGGCATAGTGTGGGGATGAATGCAAGAGCCATGAGGATCCGGCGGCTATTCTTCTCGCCTAACCTGATTTGCTCCTTACCCTTTGCATTTAGCAATCTTGCAGGGCTCTTTTCTCCAAATTCAGTACAAGGTATCCCAAAATCCATAAAAGCATTCTACCCCAAACGGCCACTTCTGAAGCAAACGTCCTCTCTTCGACTCAAGATTGGATGCGTCCATTTTTAAACGGGTGTTTGTATTCACAGGTAGGGTTTAGATATCGGGCTTTAGGTTGTCAAGTACAGGATTCAGGGTGCAGTGTTTAGGGTGTTTACGCTTTGCCAGATTGTGCATTACACTCCCCGGGAAAGCAGCCATGGTTTTGGGATGCTGCTGCCCGGAGTTGGCGGCCGGATGCCAGAAGAGCAGTGCCGTGCCTCGGCAGCAGAAAGGACGCTTACAGCTAGAGGGTGTAGGGTTTGGATATTGGTGCCCTATAAGTCTCACAGCCCCCATGGTTAGCAGCTGGCACCCGAAACTTTAAGATCTTATGGTAGCTCGCATTTTCTTTTTCGCTCCCTAAGCCCTCAGCCCGCAGCCTCTACATTAGTAGCTTCCTTTTTCCCATTCCGCAGCCCTTAAACCCCCTGATAGCTTCCCTCCCCATTTTTTAGCGCCAAAGCAACTTTGAAACCAAAACCTTGTTTGAGCTACTGTAGGGGTTATGTATCGCTATGTTGGAGATTTATAGAATGGAGAACCAAATGGACAAGACAATGGAAGATGAAATGATAGCATGGAAACTAGGATTAAGTAAAAACCTGTAGGGAATTTATGAGCTACTGTCAATACTAGGTTCACCCAGGGTCCATTACGGGTGGACAAAGGGCTCCTTTTTCGTATCTTCCCAAATATACCCTAATAGGAACCTATGTCCAGTCATCGTATAAAATTATTGACTGCAGCCCATATATCCCCATGAACCCAATTTCCGCTTCATTTTCCATATCCTTTTGCAGTCCTTCAACCCTAAGCCATAAATGATAGTGAAATTTTATCCGTAAGCCCTGACTACTAGCTGCCGTTTTCCATTCCTGATTAACAACCACCCTTAACCCTAGTAGCTTCCGTTTTCCATTCCTTACTAACAACCACCCTAAATCCTTTTCATCCCATCACCTCTTTGAAGGGACCCTGCAAATCCTTCTACATATACATATATGTATATTTATAT